AGGAGAGGGGGATGGTAGGCTGGCTTTGGGTACGGGTGGGGGGAGGGAGGGAGTTTGGACTTTACCCTGAGGTATGACGAGCACGAGAGGACTTCTAAGACTGGGTGTGACTGGCGTGGAGGCTGGGAGTTTCACTTGCCCCTGGAGCATCGGTGGACACCAGGCCTGGGCACCTCCGCTGCCACAAGGCAAGGGCTGCTGCAGAATCGTGTCTCCGGCAGAGGCTGGGCCGATCGGCACTTTTCAGCTCCCACGAACAGGCGCCAATTCCGTGGTACGCTCCCTTTCTTCACTGCAAACGCTGCCTCTTTATGACCACCATCAATAACTGCTTTCCGAGTCCTGGTACCGCAGCCGCCACATATATAATATTTAAACCACATTGGTGGATGACAGAGACGGACGGATATTTTTAATCCCAGCAGGCTATTATGGTTCATATCATGTCTGTCAAATAAATATTATGAATCCTTTCCCGTTATCTTTATGGGACAAGTGGACTTCGTTGGTGCGGTTGGGGTGGGCGGCTTGCCCAGCCTACTTATCCCCTTGTATGTATGCATGTGTGCTGGTGGCGGCAGTTGCATTTGTCCATAATAAATGCCCCCGATAAAGCACATTATTTTCCCACTTGACAGACGGCGTCTGTGGAGGACCATTGTGGAGAAGGACCTAGGGAGGGGCTGTCTTCCCGGGCCCAGGCTTGGTTTCTCGAACTCAGCCCTTCCCCTCACTGCCTAGGGCGCCTTCACGTGGATTTTCCTGCCTCACTGATTAGCACAGAAGAGACCGACCACCGAGGTCTGGAGAAGACCTTGTTCAAGGGCCACAGCAGAAGCTGCACTTTTCTCTCTGGACTCCAGTCTCCCACACCTGCCCACGCCCTGTGAGAAGCAGGGAGGTGGAACTGCTCACCGGAGGAGGTCATCATTGTCTAGAGGCTTCCTGAGGGCCTGACCACTAACCTTGGCCCTTCTTAGCGTTGATGTCTCTGTCTGGGACATGAATGAAGCAGGAGTCTTTGTTTGCAGTCTGGTATGGAGTCAGAGGAGCTGGTGCATGGCTGGCTTGGCCCCAGAGGCCCCAGGAAACCTCGGTGTTCTCCTCCATGGAACTGGTCCCCCGCTCCAGCCAGGGCTGACTTCCAGGGGCCAGGGGTTTCGCAAGAGCATCTTTCAGAGCCCAGAGCTGCCCCCCAAGCCCCAGTCCTTCTCTACCAGCATGCTAAAACCACTACTCAGTCTTGGGGTTTGGAAACAGGCTCCCCTTATGACAGTCAAACTGCTGGTTTTCAATGGGACCCGTTTATAGGGAAAGACAATCTGTCTCTTCCCTGGCACTAGTTTGGGGAGAAGGGCCCATGAGGACCTGTCTGTGGGCAGGAGTTCCCTGCTGACAGATGCTATCAAGGGACCTCAGAGTTGTAAAGGGTTTCATGGAGGATCAGATTCTGGGACAGGAGGCCTGCTCCCCTCCCCCCAACTTTGCCTTCCCTCTTCCTTTCCCCTCCCCCATGCTCTTTTCTCCTTGCCTCCCTCCCTTCCCTGCACTGAAGAGCAGCATCACTGTTTCCCATCTACTGGGGGGCAAAGGAACAAGCCTGGGGGGCTGGAGCCCCTGGGTCCTAATCCTGTTCCACCTGGCCTAGCTGTGTGACCTCAGACAAGACCCTGACTTCTCTGGGCTCCTTCCCCGACCACCCTACTTGAGTCATCTGTCACCATGGAACGTTTACCCTAAGGAGCCTCAGAGGAGGGCAGGATTCCAGGTGAGTAAGCTTGGTGGTCAGGGCTCAAGGTGTCCCAGAGGGACCATTCTGCCCAGGAGCACAGGCTGAGTGCTCAAGCTGTGCCCAAGGCCCTTGCAGGCTCAGGAGAATGGTGGCTCCTTCATCATTCTCTGAGGGAGTAACCGGAAACAGCCCAGGGGGCCCCCCTGGCAGCCCTGCCCCTACCCAGAGCTGGCGCCAAGACGCCACCCTCAGAGCGCCCATTCCTGTGCAGACAGGGCTTTAAAAAATACGATTCACTGGGCAATCTACAGACTGTTTACCTGGACGAGCCCAGACAGGCTCATGGAATAGCCCAAGTACCTTAAAAAACATCCTTCAGGAAAATTCTTTTAAAAAAGGAGTCTCAAACAAAAAACAAAACCCTCTTAGATTCCAGGCTGTAAATAGATGGATATTATTATAAAAGTCTTTTTGGCTGTCAGAGTGTATGAAGGAAGACTGGGGTGTTGTTTTTTTCCTTGGCTAGCTAGATCTGGTCAAACGTGGCAAACACCGTCAGGGCCGGTGTTTCCAGGATCATTTACACCAAAAACCCAAAATTTAGGGGGCGGGGCAAACAGTGCCCCAGGAATACCATCACCTGGACACCTGCCTTAGTGGCCCCTTCGCTAGGCCAGCAGGGCCTTTGGGACGCAGGAGGGATAAGAGCCCAGACCCAGCGTGTCCATGCCCCTGCACTTTAGTCCAGCCTGCGAGCCCCCCTGGGACCAACTCTTCTCCTCTTGCCAGCATGCTTCTACACCTCTCTCCAGCATGCTGGGCTCCGGCCACCTCATTGGAACATCATTGCTCCCAATTGATGACCCACCCAGATCCAATGTCAGCTGTGCCAGGCTCCCTGGCTGGACGGGGCCTTGCGCACTGGCTTTCACTCCCGCCCCATCCATACCCATCCTGTCTGCCCATCACACTCCACCTGGAATTGCAGGTGCTCCAGGTCGGAGTCTTATCTCATTTCTGGGCTGGGACCTTGTTGCATTTGCCACCATCTCATAATAATAGCCAAGATAATGATTGTAACCATCACCTACTGAGCTCTGCCTGCTCAGAGCCCAGACTCTCCCAGAATTATCTCAGTGACTCAGAAGGAGGGTGTGGTCAGACCCATTGTGCAGATGGAGAAACTGAGGCACAGGGTGGGGAGCAACCTGGCTTGGGTCACTCTCTGATGAGAGGCAGAGCTGGGGTCCATGCCAGGACCATTCAGGGAGAACAAGGGTCAGTCACGTCTCTCATTTCTAACAGCCCCCACCCACCCTCACTTTTCTGGACTGAGACCCAGCTTCAGGGACCATGGACCAGCTGCTCCAGCCCACAGGACATGGCAGAATGGTCGTGTTGCCTGCTGTCCTGTGTGCATGTGCTGCCCTACAGGCTCCAAGGATAGTCCCAGAGTCCAGAGACCTCAACCAAGCTACTTCTCTAGTGGCTTCTCGGTGCCTGCTGTCCACAGGCCGACACAGAATTCTGGGAGGAACAGGATTCTGACAAGGGCGCGTTCTGGGTCTGGGCAACTGTTGGGAAGTGGGCGGGCTCTGTTCTGGCCCTGGTGTGTTCCCCACTCCCAAAGAAATAATTTTTGAGAAGCAAAATACAGCCCAGAGCGCAGTGGGAAGTAGGGGAGTGGGTTTCCTATCCAGCCTCAGAGGCTGCACGGAAACAAGTGATGTGGGCTGCCCTAGTGTGTGTGTGTGTGTGTGTGTGTGTGTGTGTGTGGTGGGGGGGAGTAAGGGTGTGTGCGCGCTGTCTCTGGAGCTCCTGTCCCAAATGGAGTGGCCCCCCTGGAGAACTAACCAGTGTTCCTTTCTCCCGAAGTCCACCCTGCTTTCTCTGGGAGGTGGGTCTTGTTTGTTACGCTCCCATTTCACGGTCTAAGGGAGAGAAGCACAGAGAGTTGTAAAGTTCCCTGGAAGGCACATCCCTGAGGGTGAAACCCTCCCCGTGTAGCTCTCTTCTTCCCTGGAGGGCTGGGCTTATGACCCCCACCGAGCGGAGGCGGCCTCAGTGTTGCTGGGCTCAGCACAGCTGACAGGGTGGGGAGCGAGCCCCTTGGTTCTGGAGCCTGGGTCTCCACCCCGGAAACATGGGTTCCCCAGACGCAAGTGGGGGCGGGGCGGGGGTGCTGGGAGGAGGCGCCGGAGGTGGTGCTCTGCACTGGGCCTGGCACAGGGGCGGAGGCAGCCTGGAGCGCTTACGCCCAAACTCTTGTTTCCAGCACGGAGAGGAGGAGGGTACCCAGAGTCCAGTACTTTCTTTCGTTTTTAAACAAACAAATTATGAATTGAGAAGTCGGTACACAAAACTACTCAAGGTATAAAAATAGCCCCCAGCCACAAAAGTCCATGTCTAATACCGCCAGCTCCAGCCTCATTCTTGTGACTAAGGGTCCCTGTAGAGCCGTGGCGTGAACCCCAGCCCGATCCCCGGGCCCATGAATCCATCCGTTGGGATCCAGGGGCCTGGAGGCTGGGCTGGGGTACCCGCAGCCTCTGTGTTCCCTTAGGTATACAGGGGGCGGTTCAGAACCCGAAACGATCCGCCGACCCAGGAGGCCCGCCTCTGCGTCGAGCACGTCGCCACTCCGCGGCCTCAGTTTCCCCACGTGCCAAGCGGGGTGGTGGGAGTGGTGGGTGCGGGCGAGTCCCGGGCACCCGGCCCAGCGACACAGCTTTGTGTGACCGAAGCCAGGCCGCCGCGCTCGGCCTCTCGCCCGGTCGGTTCCGGCGGCCGGAGCCCCGCCCCGGCCCCGCCCCGCGCCTCTCGCCGGGTCCCCGGAGCCGGGCCGCAAACTTGCGAGTTGGCTGGCCGCGCGCACCCAAGGCGGGCGGCGATTGTAGAGCGCAGGCAGGCGCAGGAGGGCTGGGGTCCAGGATCCAGGGTCCGGGTCCGAGTGGGCCGGGCCGAGGCGGCGGCGCTGCGCCGAGTCCCCGCCCGTCGCGGGCCCCCCGCCGCCCTCCCG